GAAGGAAGGAAGGAAGGAAGGAAGGAAGGAAGGAAGGAAGGAAGGAAGGAAGGAAAAAAATGAGACAAAAGTCAAAATAATTCTTCCCGTGGGTTATCACCCACTTTCCTGCCAAAACATTCTGCATTTTGATGGTGCACAATAAATTCTCTTCTCAGTAGATCATGTCCTAGTATATTATCAGAAAAAAAATCCCAGTGAAATACTATCACAACATACAGAAGGTACATTGTTCAAAGAGTGAGAGATAATCGGTGAAAAAAAAAAGGGGATAAAGGAAGGGGATTCCACAAGGTAATATGTTGGGATGTATATATTGAAAATAGTATTTTGTAATGTCCAGGATGATTGATAGAGAAAATATAATGCGGAATCTGAGAAAAATACTGTATATATATATTTGTGTTTTATACTAGATAGGGAGATTGATATTAAGGAAGGAAGAAAGTGGTTAGCTCGAATTATTAACTAGAGGGGACAACTACTGTATATTTACAGATAAGGATTGATAAAATGACAAATGTGACAGGAAAAAAAGAGAGAAATGATAATAGAAAGGAGATGAGAATTTTAGATAACATTGTAACATAAGATATGAGAATATACTAAGAAAAGTGGAAGGAGATATATTAGGATTTGGAATTGAATAAATGAACATAGAATTGTGATGAGAACTTTATATAATATTGTAAAATAAGATATGAGAACATGAATTGGGATTGGATAAGATAAGCTTAATATTTAATAATGACTAGGATGATGCAATATGAAATTAAACAAATAAAATGAATAGGTAACTATGGTCATATTCGTATTGAGATGTGAAACCTGGAACCACACTGCTTGCCAAATGAGAATTTTTCATTTAAAAAGAAAATAAAACAAGGAGAAAATTGAATAATGGAATTATTAGGTATGTTTAATTGATATGGTGGTAGGTATTTGGAGAGAGTAAAGTTGAAAATAAATATTGAAGAAGTATGAATTAATATTAATATAATGCAATGAGAGATGTATGATTATATTGATGCCACTCTGTTAATGTATTGTTATATGTAGATTGAAATAAAAAAAAATTGGGGGGAAAAATTCTCATCTCCTTTCAAAAAAAAAGAAAAAGAAAAAAAAGAAAATTGATTTGGCCACCCAACTGACTCTCAGAGATTCCAGGTGGCTTACAAAAATTTCAAAGAAACACAGTGATTTTGTCAGTCGTGACAAACCCTAATAGAACAAATCATGGGGTGAGAAGTTTTATATCCAAATATATTTTATTTTTTATACTGTTTCCATCTTCCCTTAAAATAGTAACAGAATCCACAATGGTCTGAGAATCAGTAATCTCCAACTTAATTAAATTAGCAAACTGCCTCAAACCCCGAAATAAGTTACCCAGGCCTAATCCAGGATAAGCCTTATCAAAGGATAAGGTCTGCAAACACAATAGTTAATTAAATTCTCTCCCAGCAGAACTGTATGTTCACAAACACACACACACAACCCTCAGCACGTAAACACTTCCACATCCCAGACAAACTCCCCTTATGAAAGTTTGCCACTGTACCCTGTTTCTCTGCAGCCTGCTCTTAAAAGCAAACTGCTTTGCTTTTAGGAATAAGTATTTCTTCTTTCCTCATTTTTATTTATTCTTGTGCAACCCTGGCTCGAGTTGGAACCCCAAATTCTTCTTCTGACAATGGTTTGGTGCAATCTATGCACCCAGCAATTTTCTTCTTCCTAAGAAAACCCCCACACAGCCTCCAGTCCTCCTTACCTTAAGGAAACTGATGTGGTCTTTGCATTCAAGGCTGGCCTGTATACGATACAGTGTTTCTGAACGTGAGGCCATCTTGCAGTCCAGTTCCTTTAACTTGGTTTCCATCCGTGCCAAGTTCTTTTCTCTCTGGTCTTCTAAGGCCTGCTTTATACTCCGCTCTCTGTCATTCAGCAGCTGGTGCATCTTCGCAAACTCTTCAGAGATATGATTAGACAAGGATTCGGAGCAGGTCTGGGAAAACATAGATGGGACGTAGCAAAAGATTGCGGTTTGGTCAAACAGAAATGATCACCTGTCACAATGGGGTTGTGTTTTTGGGGTAGACTCTTGAGAATACCTTGGATAGTCATGAAAAAATAAATAAATGGACCATCAAACAAATCAACTCATTTGATTTCTTATTTGAAGCACTAATGATTCAAAACATCCTACTTTGGGCATGTGATGCTAACCTTCTGAAAGAGACTCTAATATTAGGAAAGATGGAAAGAGAAGATGAGGAAGAACAAAAGTAAAGATGGTGGACATAGTTACTATGACAATGGGGGCACCATTAGAAGATCTGAAAACCAGGTTAGGGATAAATCGTCATGGAGAAACTCCGCTTTGCTAGGAGTTGAAAACTACTTGATGGCATATAATTTATTTTATATATTTATTAAACTTATATGTCAGTCATTTCACTGTCAGGTAACCCATAATCAATCAATCAATGCCACTATGATGATTACCTAAGCAACACCAGCAATTTAAATCTTTTGCCTTTTTTATAATGTAGTGACAGCACACATGTATGCACAGATGTACATACATACACACAAAGTTCCATTTATGTACACACACACAGAATTCTGTGGGGTTCCTGCTGTTCTGAGCTTGATTTTTTTTTCCTTGTAGACATTTCATTACTAAACTAGGTGATATCATCAGTGCTAGAACTGAGTGCAAACTCCACTCCCTTCCAGAACGGATGAAGTTACCTAATTGAGTAGTGAAACATCTGCAACAACCAAGTTCAGAAAGCACCAACCGACCCCATCGTACAACCCTGAGCTACAAATATTCCCTTCTATCGGCACACAAAGTTACAGTCCACTTCATGTATCGAAAGGCTAAATTCTTGCATGTTTTGAAAATTGTTTGCATGTCTCAAAGTGTTGTGGTTCGTTGGCGGCCGGTGCAGATCGCAGAGCTATCGGACAGTGAAGATGAAACGGAACCAGTCAGGGAGCCTGGCGAGGACTTGGACGAGGGTCCTGCATCCGATGCAGGGATGGGGCCAGGACCATCTGAGAGTGGGGTGCTGCCTTCGGAGCCTGGCAGCAGCGAAGCAGAGGACCCAGGGGAGCCTGTTCCCAATGCGTGTGCGTGCAGAGCTGCTGGTAGGCGAGAGCAGCTGAAGAAGAAGGGGCGAGTAAGGCTGGGAGGTGATTGCCCCTCCCATCAGAGATAAAAGTCAGTCCTCAATGATGAAGAGCTTTGCAGGAAGCAAAGCAGTTCAGTAATCTCTGAGTCCTTCGTGAAGCTCTGTACTCTGGTCGGTTTTTTCCTGGGTTTTTGGGTTGGTTCATGTTAACCTTAATTGGACTCCTGTTTCTTGGCAGCATTTGACAGCACTGAAAAATGTGCTCTTACCTGGAGGAACTGTGTCTAATTAGTTTTGGCTGGGAATTCAAGTAATTCCCAGTGTCGCATTAAAAAAGATTTTATTTTTAAATTCAGTTTGTGGTTTATTAAGTTTGACGAAGTCTGGGTCAGAACACAAAGTTGTATTAGAGGAGAAACTGGGAGAATACAGGTGAAACTCGAAAAATGAGAATATCGTGCAAAAGTTCATTTATTTCAGTAATGCAACTTAAAAGGTGAACCTAATATATGAGATAGATTCATTACATGCAAAGCAAGATAGTTCAAGCCATGATTTGTCATAATTGAGATGATTATGGCTTACAGCTCATGAAAACCCCAAATCTACAATCTCAGAAAATTAGAATATTGTGAAAAGGTTCAATATTCTAGGCTCCAAGTGTCCCACTCTAATCAGCTAATTAAGCCATATCACCTGCAAAGGATTCCTAAGCCTTTAAATGGTCTCTCAGTCTGGTTCAGTAGGAATGACAATCATGGGAAAGACAGCTGACCTGACAGTTGTGCAGAAAACCATCATTGACACCCTCCATAAGGAGGGAAAGCCTCAAAAGGCAATTGCAAAAGAAGTTGGATGTTCCCAAAGTGCTGCATCAAAGCACATTAATAGAAAGTTATGTGGAAGGGAAAAGTGTGGAAGAAAAAGGTGCACAAGCAGCAGGGATGATCACAGCCTGGAGAGGATTGTCAGGAAAAGGCCATTCAAAAGTGTTGGGGACTTTCACAAGGAGTGGACTGAGGCTGGAGTCATGCATCATGAGCCACCACACACAGACGGATCCTGGTCATGAGCTTCAAATGTCGTATTCCTCTTGTCTAGCCGCTCCTGAACAACAAACATCAGAAGCGTCTTACCTGGGCTAAAGAAATATTCTAATTTTCTGAGATTGTGGATTGGGGGTTTTCATGAGCTGTAAGCCATAATCATCTCAATTTGACAAATCGCGGCTTGACCTATCTTGCTTTGCATGTAATGAGTCTATCTCATATATTAGGTTCACCTTTTAAGTTGCATTACTGAAATAAATGAACTTTTGCACAATATTCTAATTTTTCGAATTTCACCTGTATATTTTCTTCCAACCTGGATGGAAAATCAATGCTTCTCTATGTAGTTTTTAAAATAATTCAATTTGGAGATTATTGCGCTGAATCCAGTCTATCCCTTTCCTTTAAGTTTCTTGGTGCTGTTCTTCTTAAACCCAGGGGCGCAGATGGCTCAGAGAGGTATTTGGTGTCTTTTGTGGTAGCTTACAGCACCACAATGCTCCTAAATGTTTAAAACTACATGGAGAATCCCAGGGGAAGAGGGAACAGAATGGAACATCCTGAAAAATGGCTGACAACTTTGGTGATTTGAATGCCACACTACAGCATATTTATTTATTTATTGTTGATCTGAATGCAAATCAAACTAAGCAGGTAGCTTTTCTTTTCCTTAGGCTGAATTGCAGGAGCCTGGATTAAATGCTGGCTATGAAACACCTGATATTAAATGAATGAGCCGCAAATGGTAGCATCGGAAGCAACAGTTGCTGGGATGAAGAGAGAGAAGATACACTCGGTTTAGCATTAAACAGGAAGTCCCCACCCCCCACCACTTCCCAGCTGCACCTTTAATTCGATAATGTTCTCCTGCTGGTGGCACTGGCTCCTTTTCAACCGCCTGAGACCTTTCTCAAGAAGCTCCAGTGAGGCCTTCAGTTGGTCCTAAAAGGAAGAGAAAGTTCAGATCTCACTTAAAATGGACACCAGCATTTGACTGATCCCAGGACAACTGTATACCTCCAGCCAGAGGTTCTGCTCAGCAACACTTAAAATCCATCAGACCGTCGTCCCCCAACCAGCCCTAATAACATTTAATTTGTTAGTTAAAAGTGTATTATACCGTGATAGATTTAGTTAGCACCATATTAACTTTTATGTTCCCCTGCATTTATTTATTATTTTTCTTTTTCCTTATGGAATTTTTGTAGTCTGTCTCTCTTTCTCTCTCTGTGTCTGTCTCTCTCTCTACCCTGTAGGGGGTCCAATTTATGACCATAATTGAGTCCAAAATTTCTATTACTAAGTAAAAAAAATTTTTAAATAAATTTTGTCCCATTTTACGACCTTTCTTGCTACAGCTGTTAAGTGAATCACTGCAGTTGTTAAATTAGTAACTTAACACGGTTGTTAAGTGAATCTGGCTTCCCCATTGACTTTGTTTGTCAGAAGATCACAAAAGTAGATCATATGACTCCTGGGACACTGCAACCGCCATAAAGGATGCTGCGATGGTCATAACTGTGAAAAATGGTCATAAATCATTTTTTTCAGTGCCATTTAACTTAAAAGAGTCGCTAAGAAAAACTGTTGTAAGTGTGCATGTGCCTGTATATGTGTGTGTGTGTGTGTGTGTGTGTGTGTGTGTGTGTGTTTACTGTGGGTGGGAGGATTGATATATATATATATATATATATATATGTATATATATAAAATCATTTCTCCCACCCACAATCTTTTTTTTTTGACTTCAAGGGAAACCAGAATACAGGTAGCCCTCAATTTATGACAATTTAGCCCAACATTTCTGTTGCTAAGCAAGACAGTTGTTAAGTGAATTTTGCTCCATCTTATGACCTTTCTTCAGTGGTGGGATTCACACTTTTTAACAACTGGCTCTGTGGGTGTGGCTTAGTTGGAGGGCATGGCTATGTGGCTGGGTGGGCGTGGCTTTGTGGTCATGTGACAGGTCAAAAGACTGAAACTCACTTTCTGGAGCACGGGGTTGGAGTAGATGACCTCCAGGTAACTTCCAGCCCTGGACTGCTGTGTTGTAAGACTTGTGGACTTCAACTCCCAGAATGTTAGCTCAGGAATTCTGGGAGTTGAAGTCCACAAGTCTTAAAACTTGGCAAACTTGGCCTAATGGCAAGGTTTGTGGCCTTCCTTCCTCTCCTTTTTCCCTCCCTCTTTCTTTTTTTCTTTTGAAGCCCCCCCCCCCCCCCCGCCCCGTTTTTTGCCTCCTGGACCTCAGGGAAACCTCCTGGGAGCAAAAACAGGCCCGTTTTTGCTCCCAGGAGGCTTCCCTGAGGCCCACAAGGACAAAAACAGAGCACAGGGGGGTTTGTGGAGCAAGTCAGACCAAACGGTTCTTTGACAGCTGATCTTCAGAGCTACTGGTACACCTGAACTGGTCGAATCCCACCTCTGCCCTTCTTGCTACACTGTAGTTGTTCAGTTAATAACATGGTTGCTAACAAGAGAATGTGGTTTCCCCATTGACTTTGCTTGTCAGAGGTCGCAAAAGGGGATCCACAAAACCCCTAGGACACTGCAACCGTCATACAGTGGTGGCCAAAATTGAGGAAACCTTTTGGGAAAAGTGTATTTTTAAGCCATCACTACCGATCAGGGAGATCTTGGTCTCATCACTCCGACAAGACGACACCTGACTGGCTCTCTAAACACTCACCTCATTGGCTACAATCAGATGAAGGAAAGCTACCTGGTATCAACCTAAGCAAATTATGCTTCCTTTTCCTGGTTATTTGGCAATGACATTTCATACTATAAAGATAATTGAACAAACTTTGTTGCATTACATTCTTAAATTATCTTTCCATTGATATATAATTTTATGGTACTACTCCGCCCGCCAAAAAATGGTCTTATTAGCCATCAAACCTCAAAAATATACTTTTCCCAAAAGGTTTCCACAATTTTGGCCACTACTGTAAAGGCAATTCATCTTCCACTTCCTGAAGATTCACTATTTGATCTATTAGCCACTAAGTGGCTGCAAAGGGCAAGAGTTTTTCTATCTGCTGCTGACATCTTCTGGCATCTGGATTTGTTTATCTGTTGGATGACTTCTATTGGAGGAAGGTTTAGTTCTGGGAATTGTTTGGGAGTGATACATTAGCTTAAGGACATTATATGAGGAGCAGCATCATTGGGAAAGGAATTTTCCCTCCAAGCAGGCTGCAGACTTACAAAGAAAAACATACCTTTCAATTACACTTTCAGTTGCATTAGCTAAGCCATTACAGACTGGTCAGTTTAAGGCACTGTTTAGATCACCGTTTCTCAATCTTAGCAACTTTAAGATGTGTGAACTTCAACTCCCGCAATTCCCCAGTCAGCAAGATTAAAGTTGGCAAAGTTGAGAAACAATGCTCTAGGTTGATCAATCGGTTGATTATGCACCATTCAAATTATTTTCAGTCCTGTTGGTCACCTTTTGGGAAAAGTGATGAGACCAAGATCTCCCTGTTTGGTAGTGATGGCATAAAAATACAATTTTCCCAAAGGGTTTCCACAATTTTGGCCACGGCTGTATGTGAGATACAGAATCAGTATAATATTAGTGCTCTTCCATGCGTGTCAAGAGTAGAAATCTAGCTTATATTTACTAAATATTCGGGAGGCTTCAGAAGCTTTGTTTCAAGTGTCCCTGTTTATTATGATACTTATTATGATTCATATATGATATGAACCCCAGTTGTATTTTATCTTGACTTGCAAAATAAGCTGCCTCGAGTAGCCCCACTGTGAGCTAGGCGGCAAATAAATTTCATAAATCGAGAGAGAGAGATGAGAAAAAGTGACAGAGGGAGGGAGGGAAGATGGAGAGAGAGGGAGAGAGAAGGAGAGACTGACTCAGTCACTCTTGTTCAACCAGAGGCCACCTTCTTACTCCTCCAAGGTGTAGTTCTCACCTGATAGGCCTGAACCGCGTTTTTGATGGGCAGGAAGTTGTGTCCCCGGTGCTGAGGCAAGTCCCGGCAGATGACGCAAACGGACTCCTTATCTTGCCTGCAGAAGAGCTTGAGAGGCTCCCCGTGTTCCTCACAGAAGTACCATCCTCCGGTGCTGCTCAGCTGCGTCCCTTCGTCCAGCTTCAGAAGCCGGGCCTTCTTGGCCAAGCTAGAGAGGGCTCGGTTCACGTGGTGCAAAGTGAAGGGGTGTCGGCACTCGGGGCAGAGCCCTTGACTTTCCCCCTTGGGGATGCAGGGCTCCAGGCAGGGAGCGCAGAAACTGTGGCCGCACTCCAGTATGTGGGGCTCCCGAAAGAGGGAGAGACAAATGGGGCACAGCAGGTCTTCAGTGAAACTGGACACTTCTTGTACTGAAGACATGTTGGTCGATTCCAAGAGAGCCTGAGCACGTTTCCCAGGTCAGAACTGCTTCTATTTCTGCCTGTTAAATGAACATAGAATAATAGGGTTGGAAGGGACCTTGGAGGTCTTCTAGTCCAACCCTCTTCCCAAGCAGAAGACCCTATACCTTTCCAGACAAATGGCTTCTTCTTTAAAACCTCTAGCAATGGAGCACCCACAACTTTTGGAGAGGCAAACATTTCACTTGGCTAGTTGTTTTCACTGTCTGGAATTTTTTCCTTAATTCTAGGTTGGATCTCTCTTTGACAAGTTCCCATCTGTTACTTTTTAGTCCTGCTCTGGAGAATAAGTCAACCCTCCCTTCTCTGTGATAGCCCCTCAAGTACTGGGAGACTGAGGCAAAGGGGTGCCTGCCATCCCAGATAGATCAGACTTGGACACCAAAGTCACGGATACTAAAACTACTTTTCTTACAAGGTTACAGAAACAGAGTCTGCAGGCGCTTCTTGCCTTTATCCTAAAGTGAACCAGGAAGGATAAACCCTGAGACATTTTCTCGAATTGCATTCCTGTTTTGGACACGGAAATTTTCTTATCTCACTGTTGCCTGGGCTGCAGTTGCTTCCTCTTCTTCCTCAAAGTGATTCTCACAGGCCGTTGCAGGAAGAGGAAACCCCTCAAATGTGTCACCTGCCACCACTTAAACCTCTAAATAAAAATCCCCCTTGGCTCCATCTGTTGAGAAAGGCCTGGTTTTATTGGAAGTGCGTTGCAGTAATGTGAAGCCAGAACTCAGCATTCCATGCCAAAAGCCCTAAGTTTAACCTTCCCCTCCCTTAGCTTCCTCCCATCGCCCACCCCGGTGGCCAATTGTGTACAGCTGGTATGCCCAGGTGACCTTGAAACAGCAACTCCAAGAGATGCAAAACTTTCCGCCCTACTGCTGAAATTTAACTTTCTTTTCCCCTCTTGCCTTCCTCCCTCCAATTCATGCTAGCCTGTCCCAAAGTAGAAGCAAGCATAAGGTGGCTGCTGACAACATTTTTCTCTGGATCTTGAGGAAAAGTTTTTTTAAAATTATTATTATTTCAGCCTTCTTCATTTGAAGAATATTTCAATGGCCATGAACCCTTTAAAAAAAAAAAGAAATATTTTTACTTTGAAATAAGAAAGGAATAATTCTGAATTAAATAGTTCAAATTATTGTGCATCCCCCAACTGCAGTGATTAACAACTGTGGCAAAAAAGACATCGCAACATGGGGCAAAGCTCATTTAACGCCTACGACCACAAGGGAGGTCAAAGTTTCTGTTGCTAAGCAAGGCAGCTGTTAAGTGAGTTTTGTCCCATTTTACCACCATTCTTGTCAGTTCTTAGGCGAATCGTTGCAGTTGTTAAGCTAGTAACCCAATTGTTAAGTGAAACTGGCTTCCCAATTTGACTTTGCTTGTCAGAAGGTCAGTAAAGGGGATCACCTGACCCCGGGACACTGCAACCGTCGTAAATATGAGTCAGTTGGCAAGCATCTGCAGTTTGGTCATGTAATTATGGGGCCATAAAGTGTGGAAAAACGATATCAAGTACCTATTTATTCAGTGCTGTGGTTAGCTTTGAACGGTCACTAAACGAACTGTAGTAAGTGGAGGACTACCTGTATTAACGGGGGAGGGGGGAGAGGCTGAGTCCGCCGACCCACCCTCTGGTTTTGCAAAGGGGTCCTTTTGAAAGGAGCTGGAAAGGGGGAGACAAGCAGGAGGCGCTGGGCCTGGTGGTGAAGTGAGAGGGGAGGTGAACGGCTAACCCTGTTCATTTTGATGCATTTTGTAACTTACATCAGCCATTCTAGTTCTAATACATCGCCCCAAAACTTCACACCCTTAAAAAAAAGCCCAAAATAGGAAAACAACAATAATAACAAAAACCCGCAAAACTAACGAGTCCCCAACTCTCTCTCCCTCCCTGGCGCCATCCTTGTCTTTTCCACTTGGCGAGGGAGAAATTGTCCGCTCCTTTAAGGCCACACAACACAAAACCCTCCGGAGGCTCGGCCGCTTTTTGCAAGGAACTACGACCAGCTGCACAAAATACCCCACCGCCGAAGGAGACGCTCGTGTCGGCGGGTTGCTTGCTTTGAAAAGTCAGACGGCCGCGGGAAAGCAAAACTTCGGCCGGGCCGGTGCGTTTTTGCTTGCTTTTGCAAAGCTCAAGCGGACTGACTCGCGTCCTTCCTCAGAGGCAGCCTTTTTTTTGTTTTTGTTTTTTTGTTTTTTTAAGTTTCGGTTTCGGCTTTGCAAGCGATTCCTGCAAATCAGGCGCTTCCCCCAAATCAGACCGAGTGGATCAGCAACTTTTCTGCCGCAAAGCTCTTCTGGGGGGATGGGAGGTCGTGTGGCTCTCTGGAGGGGGCCAGGGAGCTCCTAAGGGCACCTATGGAAATTCTATGGAATTATGAGGACATCTATGGAAATACGTGTCAAAAAGAGGGCTGTGAAAGTATCTACAGACCCCTCACATCCCGGAAATAAACTGCTTCAACTCCTACCCTCAAAACGACGCTATAGAGCACTGCACACAAGAATAACTAGACACAAAGACAGTTTTTTTCCTGAAAGGCATCACTCTGCTAAACAAATAATTCCCTCAACACTGTCCACTGTCCAATAGTAATTACTATTACTATTAACCTTCTTGTCGTTCCTATTAACTATCTCTTTCCAACTTATGACTATCTTATCCTATCCCATCCCAAATCAACGCAGCTTTTGGTTTTATAAATGGGCCTCCAGATCTCTGGATAGGGACACCTTTCAGGGTTCCAGCAGTGCTCTTACCAATTGTTGGGAGAAATGTCCATCTGGGTCCAAGTGGGGGAAAAGACGTCGGAAACACGGAGGCTGTTTGCAAAGATGGTTTAACGGGGGATAGAATCACCTACCTTGGAGCTCCTGAACAGAAAAGGGAAGAAAATGGCTGAGAGTCCCTGAGTTTTAAGCTCTCGTTGGGATTTCAGTTTGAGCTTGTATTCCGATTGGTTGTCAAACTCTCACAAGGCCATGCAAGGGCAACTTTGTAAGTTGTTTTTTGAGCCCCAGGCTTGGTTGAGCCTTGCTGGATGATGATGTAATGAAAGGGCTGGACAAGAAGGAATGGGTGGAAACGTAGAATATAACAGAGTTGGAAGGGACCTTGGAGGTTTATATTTATGACTGGTGCTGTACCCCAAGTTCATGTGATTTGCGACCTTCTGACAAGCAAATTCAGTGGGGAAGTCAGGTTCACTTTAACAATTGGGGTTACTAACTTATCAACTGCAGCGATTCACTTAATAGCTGAGGCAAGAAAGGAAGTAAAATGAGGCAAAACTCAACAAATGAACAACAGAAATGTTGGCTTCAATTGTGGTTGTACATCAAAGACTAACTACCTGTATTTATTTGCATTTTTGGCCTCCAGACGCCAGTTGGACTTATTAACCCAATATAGTTTTCCATTGCTTCAAAGATCAGTGAACAGCATGTAGGTTGAGGGCAAAGAGCTTCTGATGTTATTGTTCTAAGCATGAACCCTGGAAAAGGCATGCAGAAAGAAAGCGGAAAGGTTATTTTCCAGCAACGGTCCAATCTTTGAGAAGTGATACCTGAGTAGTTATGACGGAAGTGAAGTGAATCTCCAAGGTCATTTGGCTTTCAATAATGAGGCGGCCATGTGGCGTCTAGAAAGAGACAACATCCTTTCCTCGTTTTAATAATAAACCTCCATCTGTTATTCATTTTGAAAGCAGAAGAGGGCGCTAGTGCTTAAAAGTGCGGGAGCTTTGAAAGTCCTCCTCTACCCGATTTAGAAACTGAAACTAAATAATTTACGGTATTATTTTTTTTTCATTCGGTAGCACACTCCGGTAAGGTAAGGATATTTTTCTCTCCGTCTTTTACAGGCTTATAAAATGAGCACAAAATGTTTCCTTTTGGGGTAGTTTGTTTTTATTTTCTTGATAGTTTTAGCTGAACAGACTTTCTTTTCTTAAAAATCAACGGGTTCTAATTAAGACATTCCTCTGAGTTAATTAAGGCATCAGGCTAGAAACTGAGAGACTGGATTTTAGTTATACCTTAAGTCATGCGAAGCCAACTAGGTGATCGTGGGACAGTCCCTCTCCCTCAGTCCTAGAAAGGAAAGGCTGGCGAGGGCAAACTGCTTCCAAAATCTTGTCAAGAAATTTGCAGGAATATTTGTCCAGGCAGTTACTAGGAGTCAGTAGTGACTGGAGGGCAACAGAATCTATTTATCTCAACTAAATACAGTTATTTAGCTGCCACTGAAGAATCCCTGTGACAAAGAAAGGAGAGGCTTAACTATTTATCTTGTGCGAAAATCCTCCTTCACACAGCTTTTAAAGATACTCAAAGAAATCAATCAATCAGAGTAGATCTGGAAGGGACCTTGGAGGTCTTCTAGTCCAACCCTCTGCTTAAGCAGGAGACCCTATACAATTTGAGACAAGTAGCTGTTCAGTCTCTTTTTAAGAACCTCCAGTGATGGATCACCCACAACTTCTGGAGGTAAGGAAGTTTCTCTTTAGTTCCTGGTTGCTTCTCTCCTTGATTAGTTTCCATCCATTGTTTTGTGTTTTCTGATGCTGTGGAAAATAAATTGATCTCCTTCTTCTTTGTGGCAGCCCCTCAAATACTGGAACACTGCTATCATGTCTCCCTTAGTCCTTCTTTTCTCTAGAGTGGCCATACCCAATTCCTGCCTGCAACCATTCTTCATATGTTTTAATCTCCAGGCCTTTAATCGTCTTAGTAGCTCTTCTTTGCACTTTTTCCAAAGTCTCAAACATCTTTTTTGTAATGCGGTGACCAAAACTGGATGCAGGATTCCAGGTGTGGTCTGACTAAGGCTTTATAGAGTGGTATTAGTACCACACTCGATCCTGATTGTATCCCCCTGTTAATGCAATTTAAAGTGGCACTAATACTTCATGTGATCTTGATTCTATGCCTCTGTTTACACAACCAAGGATTATATTAGCTTTCATGGCTGCTGCCCCACATTCAAAGGATGGTCCACTAGCACTCCCAAGTCCCTCTCACAGTTAGCTGTTTTTGAGCCAGCTTCCGCCTAATCTGTACTTGTACATTTGACTTTTCCAGCCTAGGTGTAGAACTTTGCTTTCCTTCATGTTCTCCACAGATCATGGCCTCTGTATCTCTGGGTTGGGAGGTATAAATATGTTCAGGGCTGGGCTGCTACCGGTTCGCTATTCTGCACCACGCAAAGCAGCTGCGCTTCAGATTCTGGCCATAAAAGTGAGTATGGGAGCCCAGGCGGGTGAGCCCCAACACAGAGCAGCAGAGAGAACCGGTTCTGTCTCTGCTGCTCATTGCCGCTACCGGGTCTCCAGAACCGGGCAGAACCGGTCAAATATCACCACTGAATATGTTGCATCTTTTTTGCAGAATGTAGAATTTCAAATTGACACCAGGAGTGAGGGACGTCTGAGAAAAAAACCCCAATACTTTTGTGATGTTCTTCTCTTGCCTTCAGCTAGAGATCCACAATGTTTTGAAGTTAGGAACTATCTTGGAATTTTAATTGAACCTAACTGATGCCCGAATCCACCTTCTCAAAGTTTCCTTTTTAGGGTGTCCTTGGATAGAGATGGATACTGTGAACTGGGCTTTTCAACAAGCTCTTGAAAAAGTTCCTCCTCTAAGTCTCTTAGCAGTCACAGGGTAAGGGGACTTTTTATGTGGTGAAATCAGAAAGCAAGAAGTGGGATTTAAAAAGGAGGGAGAGGGTTCTTGAGAAAGGAATTTAGAAGCTGCTGCTTTTAAATTGTTCATGAATTACTTTGGCTGGAAAGCATTGAACATTTCTGGAATGATAGCAACCTTTTCAGGGAATCAGAAACCAAAAATGATTCTGAACCATTCCAGAAAGATCTCTTTGAACCCCGTGAAAGGTCAACAGAAGGGAAAAGGCATTTGTAAGTAAGGAGCCACAGATGTTTTGGCTGTCCCACCAAACAGTTGCCATCAGCCTCCTCTTTGTCTATAGATAGTTTGGTCTGATATTGGGTGGGGTCTTTTGTAGCACAGCTATCAGGTAAGCTTATTGTCTTGTATGTTGTATAAAAGTAAAGCAGGGCCATTCAGTTTCTGTAGAGCAGGCCTAGTTGTGAGTCATGGCTGCCCCAGTGAGCCATGATTCACTTCACATCTATGTTATTAATTTTACACTTGCTGTTATTCAGTTAACGACTGTGGCAGAAGAGATCATAAAATGCGGCAAAACTCACTAAATGTCTCACTTAACAACATACATTTTGGGCTGAATTGCCATAGGTCAAGGACTACTTGCATTAATTTTTGCTGCTTTGACTCTTGGCAGTTATCCTGATAAGTCCTGCATCATTTATTGGCATACTTTGTTTTATCTGTACAGCTTGACCTTGCCTTCTCATTCCTGGGGTGAGAGAGAAGTCTGGCCTAAGATCATCCAGTTAGTGTTATGCCTAAGGCAGGACTAGAACTCAATATCTTCTAATTTCTAGTCTAGTGCTTTGAACCAGTGTGCCTAAGGTGCTCACATAGTAGTACCAGAGGCCACAAGAAAGTTCAGTGTTGATATCTTCCATCCAGGAGCTAGCAGTTAAGACACTGGGCTGTCGACTGGAAGATCAGCAGTTCTAGACCCAAGTAGTAACGTGTGATGGGGTGAGCTTCCATTCTTGTCCAAGCTCTGCCAACTTAGCAGTTTGAAAACATGTAAATGCAAGTAGATAAACAGGTACCACTTCAGTGGGAAGATAACAGAATGAGCCTTGGTGGCACAGTGGTTAAAATGCAGGCTACTTCTGCTAACTTCTGCCAACTGCCTGCAATTTGGCCGTTCGAATCCCACCAGGCTCAACGTTGACTCAGCCTTCCGTCCTTCTGAAGTCGGTAAAATGAAGACCCAGATTGTTGAGGGCAAGTAGGCTGACTCTGTAAACCGCTTAGGGAGGGCTGTAATGCACTATGAAGAGGTATGTTAGTCTAAGTGCTATTGCTATTGCTATTCTGTATGCCTGAGCGTATAATCATGCTGGCCACCTGACTACAGAAGTGGTTTTGGACAAAGTTGGCTCCCTTGGCTAGGAAATGGGGATGAGCACCATTTCCTGGAGTCAGACTTGACTGGACAGGGTAAATCTTTACCGGTCTTTTGGAGCCTAAGGCACACCCATTAGTTATATCTTGAATCAGATCCTACCTTGTTTTAAAAAAATCTTCCTCGTTTTTTTTTTCCTCTGCAAACCAGGCTCCGCTGTGATTCAGTGAAAGTATGGCCCTTGTACGAAGACGTGCCCATGACGATGCATTTGAAAAAAAAGTCAGACATCATTTCAACCAAGGACTATGTGAGTTAACCTCTGTGGTCAATTGTCTGTACCTAGCAAAAGAAGATGTTGACTTTTACATAGATCTAAAGGAGCACATCAAGAAGGCGACAGAGGAATTGGGCAAGACAGAAGAATTGGTTCTATGGGACCTGAGGAATGTGGATTCAATGACTTCTGAGATTATGGTCTCAAAGAAAAAACTCATGGATGAACAGAAAGCCAAAGAGAACGAGCTTGTCAATTTTCAGAACCTGCAGAAGGATTTGCAAAGACGCAATGAGTTGCAAAGAGAAGATTACGAACGCCAAAAAGCTATGAAGGAAAAGGCAAAAAGGGATAGAGAAGCCGCAGCGGACGAAATTAGAGAACAAGAAATGCGGAAAAATAAGGCCTTTCAGTTGATGTGGATACCAGTTGTGGGAACTATTATTGGTGAGTATTAATAATGACACCCTAAATATGTCAAAAGCATGCGCT